TTTTTCACTAATATCTCGAAAACTAAAGCTTTCCGCGAAATTTGTATATGAACAAAATTATTCAGAATCATGTCCGTGATAAGATATTAAAAGCGCACTAAAATCGAGAAAAGTTTATTTCAAAAGTTGCCGGTTGTTTTGCAATAACAATACTTTGCAATTAAAAAATGAAAAGTTTTTTGATAATGGTACCAATGGGGAGTCAGAACCTACCAGATGCAAAAGGTTTCGTTCCGATCGGTCCATCCAGCTAGGCGTAATCGGCGAACATACATAGAAAAAAAAAATATATATATATACTGATCGAATTGAGTAACCTCCTCCTTTTTCGAAGTCGGTTAAAAATACGCTAGAGACAGAACAGTATTCTTTTATTAATTCAAATTCTAAAATTTGTTTGAAGTTAATAACTTTCCCTCGAAACAATTACTCTGACTTTCCCTCGGAACAATTACTCTTTTTATAATTCGGCTCGACAACTAATTGTCCATGACCCTTTTTGTCAAAACGAACAATGACAGCCGAAACCAGATCGCTTAATTGGGGAGCCTGTTATACACTGGCTACTAGAACGACCCAACGATACCGTAATCGGGTGAACAGCATAGGTCTGACATGGTAGCAAATAAATATTGACTCTAATTATAAATCGTAATTGCTGAACTGCCACCCAAAAAACACGGGCTTCAGAGACCAAGTCACTCAAATGAGAAGCCTGCTATTCGCTGGCTACTAAACTACCTAGACCAACTCGGAGAATCTAACGGCGCGTTAGCAATCCGACCAAAAGTCAAATAGGAGTAGCTGAGAGCTCTCGTTTTGATGTCTTAGCCTTTCTTGGCGCTAAGCATAGCACTCACCTGACGGAGTTTCAGATACAAGACCGCTTAACACTTTACCGACCGCTAGCGGCTGAACGGCATACGCCCGTCCGACCGGCCGCTCAGCCACAGATTCTCCCTGGCACCGGCTCTGTTTCGGTTTAGAGTTTAGACTGTCGCGCGGGAGTGTCTGTGCCCTTCGTACGCTCAAATAAAATTGTCTGCTTTTTGTTATTATAGGATAATTGGATTTAATAAAATCTTTTATTTTCATGATATTAATGCTAAGTTATATTTATTTTATGTATTACCTTAGTTGTCAGTCAAATACTTTTATAAAATACCATAATCTATACTACAAATAAGAAACAGTCAATATCTTTTTAAAGTATGGTATCGTTCAAAACAATCGCCTTTATGTAATGGAACTTCGCAATATTTACAAACAAAAGATGTTCTACTCTTTTTTTTATGAACTGCACAAACTCTACATTGTCTTTGGGGTTTTAAACTTCGACCACTGGTCACTATATTTATGAGTTTATGTTTCCCGAAATTCGACAATCTTCCGGGATGGTCTAATCTGGGTGCTCTCCTCGTGGGTTCAGAACTGGTAGGTACGTTGTCATCATGTTCCATACAATTAGTTTCACTGTCTCCGGTCCACGAAATTGCCACTTTGTGTAGGAAATTCTTGTATGTAATATTTTTGCCATTTAGAACTGTGTAGGTTTGAAATGAGTTGAACAGTGCACAGTTGATGAAAAACATTACCACTCGTTTGGTCCATTTTTTGTTTTTCGGAAAATAGAATAGTACGCGAGATATTGGTCGGCGCGATCCACACCCTTCATATATTTATTATAATTTATGATGGAATTCGGCTTTTGTATTGGGGCTCTTGATCTTCTGCTTCTGCTTGTGGATTCCATCAATTGTGCAGAATGTATGGTAGAGATCATATTCACAGTTCTTCTACCATTATTCCACGCTTCTAACAGAATTTGCCGATTCCTACGAAATTCGTATTGTCTTTTTGAAAGTCGTAATAGTTGTAGTGATCGAGGAAGACCTCTGTTTTTGCGAATGGTTCCGCACACCCGCACTTTATTTTTTAGGAGAATTTCAGCCATTTTGACACTATTGTAATAGTTGTCTTGATAAATCTGGTACCACATGTTTTTAAATGTTTCAATAACCGTTGAAACCGTGTCTACTAATTTGTTGCCATCAGCAGCATAAATGTGAAAGTTACATATGTAGCCTGTGACAGCTTCACACAACATTCTCACAAGTATTCCATATTTTGTAATTTTAGCAGGATTATATGTTCTAATCGATAGTCTGCCTCTCCACGAAATGACACACTCGTCCAAAGACAATTGTTGTAAGGGTGTATAGACGTTATTAAATTTTTCCTTTAGGTAATCAATGACAGGCTGGACTTTGACAAGCCTGTGTGAATTCCGAGGTATGTTGTTATTATTGCAAAAATGCCAGCTTTGCATTATTTGCATAAATCTGTTCCTGCTCATTACTCGTGAGAAGAACGGAGTTTCTATAGTTCGATCAGTGGACCAATAGTCGTAAAGAACGTCTTTTTTTACTTGTCCCATTAGAATTATTAGCCCTAAAAACTTTTTCATCTCTGGCACCGTGATATCAGTCCATTTTTTTGCTTTAGATGAAATGTGATATTTTTCCATGACCTGATAATGATACCTATTATATTCCATTACCAAATGCTCGAAGAAGTAATTGCCAATAAATAAATTGACACTTTCAATCAAATTTTCAGGAGAATTTGGCATAATTTTTATGCCAGGGCTGCCTTCGAACGGTTCCAAAGTTATTCCTTCGTCATTCGTCGACCATGTATCATCGTTATCTGCACCGTTATTTGCATCGTCTTCGATATTACTTATTTCGTCGTCTTCTGAATCACTATATCTTAGTGGCAACACAGAACTTCGTTTTCGAATTATTACTTCGCTGCTATCAGTTTCGCCACCACTATCACTTCCTGAAGAACTGTCAGGACAATCTGATAAGTCATCTAGATAAAACTCTTGGATACTATTTTTTTCACTCATTGCGAACGGTAAAATTTTCAAAACGGTATTGATATGAAAATGTGGAATGTTACAAAGCAAGGCAACTAAAGCAACTGAGCAACGTATCCTCATCTCAAATAAAAAATGACTGTTTATCGCAACGCCACCGACAAATCGGCTGTCATTTTTTGAGCGTCGGTGACAAAAGCCGATTAATAGGCTACCGGTCGGTAATGTGTTAAATGGGGAGCCTGTTGTTCACTGGCTACTATAATGACCCAGCGACCAAATATCCGAATGGCGTATACCCGCTTTACCAATCAAGTATCTAACGCATTCGACTTCGAAAATTGTTCTGCTGCTTAGCCAGGTTTCGCTCGGCCTTTAATACCCGCAGGTTTGCCAAATTCCTAGAATTTCTGTAACGTCAAAGAATATAATTTTCGTATAAATCTTTAACTAGAAACTAATTATTACAGTGAATGATTTAATTATATCGTTACTGTCGCGCTTTAACTAATGACTAAATCTGTAGGTATATTGTACCTGTTAAGCCATTTTTTGGATTCAGTAAAAATGAAGCTATCAATATTCGTATTTACATAATTTTGTACATTTTCTGGAAGTATTACAAGTTTCTTTACTGAATGTTCCGTATTATTATTTTTTAGAGCCTTAATCATTTTCCTTTTGTGTTCAATGGTATTATTTCGTCGAAAAAAGATAGTGGCACGTTCTCAGATACAAGGTACCCTAAATGGTTAATTGTAGAATGCAAGTATAGATTTTGTTGGAATTTTAGATCTTGTAATGTTCCGGGAATTACGGGAATTAGCGCATTAATCCAGGCTTGAATGTATAAATTAGGTAAAAGAATACATATATCACTTATCCCTATGATTTCGTTACTATCCAATAAAAATTCTTGTCGGAATAAATAAATTTTTAGCACGTAAATTGCTTTAGCCATCCACCTAGCATTATGAAACGCTCCAGGAACATGAAAAGTATTTCCTCGTGGAAGAGATCCACCAAGAAAAATTATCATCAACTCCAAAAGTTCTTTGTAATTATCTCTCAGCTGCTTTTGTCGTAAATGGTACAAGCAAAAATTTATTTTTTCTTCTACATCCTGGAGCTTTCCATAAACATAAGAATCTTGTATACCTGTTTTAAAATTTGATAAATTAATCTTAGGCCAAGCTTTTTGAAATTTTTTGTGCTTCTTACCTGATCCTTTGATCAGGTAAACTCGGTAATATTTACCACTGCCGGGAATCTTTTTGCATATCTACCATGCAGAGCACCTACTATACATTTTTTAATACCGAAATATTTGTTTCATTTTACGTAAGATCTCTAATGGCTAACTGAATAGGAGATTAGTTTTATTATTCGAGCTGACCGTTTCAGCAACTACAGAATGAGATTCATACTAACATTAGCGGTAACATTCAGTAATTTTTAGTATATTTTTGAAAATCATACACCAACACTAAAATTATATATATAAAAAATTATATTTTCATTATAAAATATTCACTGATACTTTTAAAATAAAAGGCCACTAAAATATTCGACGATAACCTGAAATCGTGCAAATTTCAAAACTTCAGCTCGATTGCGGCACGGGTTCCTGTTATCTAATCATGCTGAAACTTTGACATTATCGTTTTTTCATCAAGTGTCAAAATTTTAGGGGGTGAGACCAAAAAAGTCGAAAAATAAGGGTCACCCTACTGTACAACGATGATCTGTTGAATGACTGCGGTGTCGATCGAGACAGTCATCGTTTATTGTCGAAAGAAACCAGGCAACATAAAATATCGTAGTTTTTAATCGAAAATTCCGCTTTCTTGCTATCAAAACAATGTAGTTAAAATTTTTTATGAATTTTCGTTCGCTTGTTTTCATTCGGTCTATTTACGTGTCTGTGACATCCCTGGAAAAGTTTTTTTTTCATCTTCATCATGGCGGTGCCATACCTTATTGTTAGTTTAGTTACCGACATCATCTATCTATTACCGACAGCTACATTAGAAATCAGTTACCATAAGAATTTAGTTCAGCCGTCGATAATTAATATATACGAGGTCTGTCCCAAAAGTATCCGACCTTCCTTCATATTTCCTTGCTGGTGTTATCCTGCGTCATCAGGCTGGTGGCATCCTTCGAAGTAGTCCCCTATTGATTGTAGAATACTCTGCCAACGACCTTTCTACTTATGGAAACAGTCCTGGAATTCGTTTTTCGGAATAGCTTTTAGAGCGTTCATCGTATTAGTTTCGACCGTTTCTTTATCGTCGAATCGGTGTTCTTTGAATGGCATTTTCAACTTTGGAAACAACCAAAAATCGCAGGAAGCTACATCAGGACTGTACGG